ATCTTGTCAGAAAGATTGGAGCCAGGAAGCTTGGATTAGAAAGACAAAGATCCCTAGAATCAACAATCCCTCACGCCAAAAATCCAACAGTCATCAGCCACATCCCCAGGGAAGCAGGATATGACCTTTGGGACATAATAGGATTAACCCACCACCATCAGAATACCAGAAAGGCACACTCAGATTCAGGTCAAAGTTCATGCCACAGGAACAATTCCAAACAAAAGCTCAAGAAGGTATTAAAAACCCACCACTCCCAGCTACATGTGATCAGCTTTCCCAGAGCCACGCTTCTGTCTGGCTTTGCTCTTCAATAAACTCCAACCTTCTTTCTAAAGCAGTCTCCATTTTGTTTATTCCCCGCTTGGACTGGACCCTGATGAAGATTTTTCTTTCAACACTTGCTTGGGACCTCACATGGTTTTCTGAGAAGGCTGAAGGAATGTAGCAAGAGGACTGGATTCATAAAGTTGGTGCAGCCACAATTTTCTGGCAATAATCAAACAGCTGCATTAAAATTCTACCTACCAGTTCTTAAGGCAGCAGAAAATCATTACTTCAAATTGCCGAGGATTGCTGAGCCCTAAGAAGGCTGACAATAGATGCTGCCTTTTTAAAACATAGTTTAGAAACGTGAATGAAGTGTTCCTCCATCTGTATTTCCCATCCTACCAAGCTTGATATCAACAATTAACTCTTCTCCCTAACATGAGTTGGGCTGGGTGAATATAGGTCATACATGGAACAGCTTGTTTAACTATCTATCAAGCTGTCCAAATAATATGTCACAAGAGTAAAATATCGCATGCTTGTAACGTCTCAATAAGGCTATTTATGAACACAGATCTAGTACTCTTCTAAAAAAACACTAAACCCATGTGCAAAAATAGTTTGATTGATGGGTTGCAGGCATAAAAGAGGAATGTAGGACAAAATGTAAAGAGCAATAAAATGTGAGCTCCATTGTTGATTACTGCTTCAATAGAACAGCAGTGTGAACAACAAATCCAATTCTGGAATGTGGATAACAACACCATGAAGTAGCTTATGGAAGGTCATTGAATGGAACAGCACCAACAACATCTATCTGAACAACCTAGCTCTATATTTGTAACTTAATTTTCAAAGTCAATCATGATGCAATTCTTCTCCATTATCTATATAGGATCCAATCAAAAGTCAAGCATAGGAACTGTTTTTTTACATCTTTGTTTTAACTATTGTATTTTTTTTCACCAAAATGCATTTTATTACAAAATCAAAGTTGTAACAAATTAGAAAATACAACCACTAAGTTCTTTGAAATTTAGGAACCAGATTCTCATCTTGACCATCCTTTTCTAAAATCTTTGAAAACATAAAATAATTATGCATTTTTATTCTTCTAGTTAGTTTTCCTTAATTACAAACTGTTTACAAACAACCAGATTACAATGGGATTACAGTGGCAACAAGGACTGCTGTTGGTGAATGATTCAGTCATGTGACATTGTGCTTTATGATTGCATCGCTCAGTGGTGGAAATTTCGGTCCAAATGCCATCATAACACTATGATTACTTGTACAATTGGATTCATGGTTTACAACACTTCAGAAAGGACCCCAAACTTATAGGTGCTGCATTAACCATTGAAGTGATTCATCCTGAACCACAAATATTCTCCACTATCACAGAGATTAAGATGCTAGACTTGGAACAGGGAGACCTAGATTCAGATTCACCCTCAGTTATGAAATAAATTTATCTACTCTGTTATTTAAGCTTTTACTATTCTGTACTTGACAACTTCTATTTAAGTTGTTAGTCATACCAGACCAGAGCATATGTGAAACCTGGACAGGACTGCGTGCACACATGCCAGCAGGTAGGTAGGCAAACCATGAACTGAGGCGGGGGATTTGGAGAGAGACAGGGATGCTGCTGCCACCCCCACCTGCAACACCTCACCTGCAATACCTCTTTAATGGCACAAATCTCTATTTTTGCAGGTACATAGGCCCAGGAAGCTCCATCTCAGAATGGGCGCAGGAGACCTGGGGGTGGACTGGGCCAACAGAGCAGCAGCAAAAGGAAACACTCACAAAGTGGGGGGAAGAGGGGAGTAGGAAAAGAGTGTGAGTGTATGTGTAGGCTTTGGCATCAGGGTGCCAAAAGTTTAGGAGGTTGAGAAGCCCAAATATTTAAGGGAGGTTGTAAGGTGTGAACCCCTCTCTAGTTCTACAGAAGGATCCTTGGGAAAGGAGATGGAAAGGAGTTAAATAAAGGAGAAGCTGGATTGGGCAGGGTTGGTGGTGCATCAAGAGGTGAGGAGGCTGACTGACCCAACTCAATGTGCCAATGTCATCTGTGTCCCTGAGCTGCATTTTGCAAATATGACAGCTTGACATATAATCCCCAAATTGTACACCACCTTAAAACTAGCCCAAAATAGCTCAAAAATGCCAAAAAATTATTGCAACTGATCTCCAAATCAAGGCCATGTGGGCAGGAAAACTGCCCAACTGGCAAGACTACCATGCATCTGGGGAAGCAGGAGCCACCCAAAAGGATGGGGGGGAAGGATGTGGCAGAAAAAGAAAAATTGTGGTGATGCTGGAGGATTTGGCATCAGGTGCCAAGAATTAAGGAGAGGTCCAGAAGTCCAAATATTAAGGGGAGGGGTGTTTAATGCTGCAAGCCCTCAACCTCTCCTATAGTTTTGCAACAGGGTCTTTGGGAGAGGAAATGAGGAGCAGCAAGAAAGAAGCTGGATTTAGAGAATGAGATGCATGAAACGAATGTAATAATTTTGTAAATTCTGCTTATATTTGAGCCTAAATATGCAGGGGTTCCTCGAAGCCTGAAAAATATTTCAAGGATTTCTCCTCAAAGGGTTGATTTAGATAGAGATTGATCTAGATAGAGATTAAAGGCACGATGGAGTGAAGTATGCTAAATAATCTCTTTGATCACTTCCCATTAAATGGAGAGAAGTATAAAGGATGAGTATAATCTGGTGCCAGTTTAGACCATGAATAAACCTAGAAACGCCCCCTTCCTCCCTTACCCTACATAATGAAGAGTCGGTGCGCTTCCTCCTATTCCCACTCAATTAACCAAGCGCCTGCAAATTTCCCTTCCAGCCTTTCTCACCTAAGAGGCTGCTCCGGGTCGAGCAATACTTGGCAGCCGCCGTGAAGCGCGTCAAGCTCCCGATAGCCCTGACAGCAGCCGCCATCTTAGCCCAGCGGGGAGGTCAGTCAAGCAAGCGAAGATTGAAAGAAACGAAGGGCGTGGAAAAGCCGAAGAGGGCTTTCCCTTCGCCTCCGTCGCTCTCGCTTAGTAAAATGAGCTGTCTCCTGATTTGCCTGTTAAAAAACCACAGCGCGCCTCGTTACGGTGCAGCAGATGCCCCCACAGTTCTTCCGAAGGGCACATTTCTTTCACATTTTCTGTTTTCTAAGGCTCTCCATCAATATTTGTTATGTGGAAAGAGAAAAGTTGAATCAGGGTTTAGGCGACTTCGGCGATCGACAGTTAATGTCGGCAAGGGAGGGCCTCCTTTGTAGTGGCGCCCTTGAGTGGGTAAAGGGGCGGGGCTGACTCTTTGCAGCCTGTGTTGGAGGCTGTTGCTTGCGGTGAGCTAATTTGCCTTGTTTTTTCGCGCTCCCTCAAGGTGGGCGATTCTAAGTCCCAAGCGGGCTGGAGGGAGAGCAAGTGGGGGATTAGGCGGTGGGAGGATTTGCTTTCCTGCGTGGGTTCTCCGTGGAGGGAAGTGACGCTATAGGAACAGTTGGTGGAGACATTAAGGATGATGTATCGTTGTGCCCAATTACCGATCTATCCAGTTTTTCATTTCTTAATATAGTTGTGTTGAATTACAGATCCTATTTTATTGCATGTAATAAGGAGGTTAATGAGAAGTGTAGAGAGAGCTTCAAGTTGGAGAGGGCATAAACAACACTAGCTTGTCACTAGCCCCGAGTACATTCTATGCAAAATTTTATAATGAAGAATCTAAGGAAGAAATACTATGCAAGCATAACAGCAATATAGAATGCTTAATATGTATTAAGATAACAAAATTGCCCAGTGTTCTTAAGAAACACTGTTATAGTATCATATTTACACTTTTGTAAAGCAGGCGAATATCATGAAATTTTACCACAAAGGAGGTTTATTCTCTTTTAAATTTGAAATCTACATATATTGTTTAATGTATCTTTTTCTTAATTGTTTTCGTTTTTACTTTTGGTTATAGTTTTAGTACTTTTTTGTACTTGGTTTTGTATTTTTGTTTTGTATATTATTAAACTTCATTAACAAAGATAATTAAAATACCATATATAATAGGGTATTTTGATTTTCCCTATCATAATTGTAGTTCATAGTAGAGAAGAGACAATGGTTGACTTTTGATATTATATGATTGATCCTGCATATATCCTGCATTCTTCTAGGTACAAAGTATTTGTACACAATAGTGCTTCAAAACTTTTTTCCAATTTCATTTCATGTGGCAGGTTGAATCAGTCATTCTTGTATCTCTAAAGGAAAAGCCACTCGGTGAAATTACATAAATAGCTAAGTGTGAATTTAACCCTGATTCTTTCCTATCCTAGTTCAGTATCTGAATTGCAACACTATGCTAATTCTCCTTTTTGGAGCTCACCTCCAGAACCATAATATTACAGTAACATTTAATAAAATTATTTGGACTT